TTTCTAATTTACAGTGATTTCACAGACATGCAGGATGATTTTGGCTACAAGTAGCCAAAAAGTGGCCCAAGCAGTGAAGACATTGTGGTCTGTTGTACTAGAGTCCAGAGGGGGTGGGCCCAGGGCATGGAGCAGCCTGTGGCCTACTGAAGGGCATGGTCCCCTCCAGCCTCTGCCCTGTGGGCTCAGGTCTGCCTTCACCCGAGGCTGGCTCCTTGCTGGTGATGGAGCTTGGACTATGGGCCCTTCCTGGCACAGTGTGATTGGTCCAGTCTCCATTCCAGGTCCTCCTGACGCTGTGAGAGTGAGAAGAGGGCCAGTGGTGCCTCCTGCCCCAGGGTGTAGTCAGCAAGCTCCATGTTAGGTTAAGGGAAGACGACGGTGGCCGTGTGCATGTGCCCCTCTTTCTTGGCATGCTAGGTCCTTTGCCACCTCTGCTGGGCCCTGCCATTACCCAGCCGCCCCCTCATATACCAGAGCCTGAGATTCGGGAAAGGGGCAGGTGCCTGGCCTTATACTGGATGCAGCCCATTCAATGGCATTGTCTCATCTCCGCACTTGATCTGGACCCCAAGCCCTTGGAGGAAGCACTCCCCTTGTCCTTCTCTGACTTCATCCTGGCGGTGGGTAGGGGACTGGGCTCCGCAGGTATGCTCGGAGGTTTCTTTCTTACTTATTTTTTTATTGACATAATTCACATACCATAAAATCCACCTTTTTAAGTTGTACATACAAGTCTGTAGTTTTGAATATATTCACAGAGTTACACAACCATGACCACCATCTAATTCCAGAGCATTTTCATCACCCCCAAAAGAAATGTACCCATTTGCAGTTACTCCCCATTCCTTCCACCCCCTAGTCCCTGGCAGTCACAGCTGTCCTTCCTGTCTCTATGGGTTTGCCTAATCTGGACATTTCATATAAAAGAAGTCATATAGTATGTGGCTTTTGTGACTAGCTTCCTTCACTTAGCGTAACGTTTTCAAGGATCATCTCCCTTACAGTGTGACTCAAGAGCTTCATTCCTTTTACAGGTGAGGGATACTCTGTCAAACAGGCATATCTCATTTTGTTCACCTGCTTACCAGTTGATGTCTGTTTGGGTGGTTGCTGTTTCTCGGCTGTTAGGCATAATGTTGCTGTAAACATTCCTGGATGGATTTTTTTGTGGACATGTGTCTCCATTCTCTTGCTTATACATCTGGAAGGAGCATTGCTGGGTCCTGCTGTAACTGTGAGCTGCCAGGCTGTTTCCCAAAGCAGCTGCACCGTTTTACATTCCCTTCAGCAATGCCAGCACTTGCTGTTGTCTCTCTCTTTGATTATAGCCATTCTGGTAGATGTGAATTAATACCTCATTGTGGTTTTGATGTGCATTTCCCTGACGACTAATGATGTTGAGCACGTCTTTTCATGTGCTTTATTGGCCATTTGTATGTCTTGTTTTGAGAACAGTCTATTCAAATCCTTTGCCCATTTTAAATTTGTGTTAAATCTTTATTGTTTGTATGTTAATAGTTCCTTACATAGTTTTGATACTAGACTCTTATTAGATATGATTTGCAAATATTTTCCCCATTCTATGGGTTGTCTTCTTTCTTGATCGTGTCCTTTGAGGCATGAAAGTTTAAATTTTGATGATGTCATATTCATCTATTTTTACTTTGGTTGCTTGTGGTTTTAGTATCTAAGAAACCATTGCTTAATCCAAGGTCATGATTTACACCTACAATTTCCTCTTAGATTTTTATTGTTTTAGATCTTATATTTAGATTGTGATCCATTTTGAATCATTTCTTATATACAGTGTGAGGTAGGGGTTCCAATTTCATTACTTTACATGTGGATATCCAGTTGTCCGACCTCCATCTGTTGAAAAGACTATTTTTCCCTTGTTGAATTGTCTTGGCACCCTTAGTTGAAAAGCAATTGACTCTATATGTATGGGTCTGTTTCTGGACTTTGAATTCTATTCCACTGACCTTATGGCTGTCCTTATACCACTTCCACACTGCATGATTACTGTAGCTTTGTAGTAAGTTTTAAACTGGAAAGTGTTAGCCTTCCAACTTTTTTCATTCTCAAGATTATTTTGGCTATTCTGGGTCCTTTGCCTTTTCATATGAATTTTAAGACCAGCTTGTCAATTCCTGTGAAAGAAACCTGGGATTTTGATGGGGGATTGTGTTGAACCTGTGGTTCAATGTGGGAGTGTTGCCAGCTTAATAATATCAGGTCTTTTATCCATGAGCATAGCATGTCTTTCCACTTAGGACGTCATCTTTAAGGTCTTTCAACAGTGTTTTATAGTTTTCAGCATGTAAGTCTCTGTTTGTTTTATTGCTGAGTGTCACATAATAATGTGAATTATTTTCTTTCATATTTGGATTGTTCATTGCTAGGGTTTGGAAGTACATTTTTTTTTTAATATATTGATCTTGTGTCCTGCAATCTTGCTAAACTCATATATTAGTTCTAGCAGTTTTGGGGTTTTTGTGTATGTGGATTCCTTGGCACTCTCTCTCTATAAGACTGTGTCATCTGCAAATAGATGTAGTTTTACTTCTTCCCAGTCTGGATGCTGTGCACTCCATTCTTTTTCCTAATTGCCCCGACTAGACCCTCCAGTTCAAAGCTGATTGTTCCTGATCTTAAGAGGAAAGCGTCCAGTCTTTCACTCGTAAATTGGGTGTTTCGATGGGGTTTTGTATGTGCTCTTTAATCAGGCTGAAGAAATTCCCTTCCATTCCTAGTTTGTTGAGTGTTTTTATCATGTAAGGGTGTTGGGTTTTGTGAAATGCTTTTCCTCTGTATTGAGATCATCACGCGGGGTTTGTCTTTTCTTCAGTTACCATGGAGGAGCACTTTCTCTGTTAGGGAACCGTGGCCCATAACGTGGACTTGGGAGCCAGCCCAAGTCTGAGTCCCTGGCTACCTTGGGCTCACTGTGGTCTCTGGACAGGGACTTCACATCTCTGTGCCCCGTTTTCCTCATCTGTAAGATGGGAGTGACCCCGTTTCCCCCTGGGGTTCTCATGAGGGCAAATGAGTTGCTTTGCAGACCACATGAAGAGTGCAGTTTACTGCACTGTGGCTTATCAGTGACATGGTGTAAAAGTTTTGGTGTGGGAGGGACACTAAGGGGACATGGTGAGGCAAATCTAAAGCCAGGCTGATCCACCTGCCCTGAAAAATCTGATGGGGGAAAGTCTGAAAGTTCTTACAGGAGGCAGCTTGAGGCCAGGAGCATCTCTGTCTTCCTGCAGGAGGGCGTGGGCCAAGGGCGCGTGCAGGCCCTGCCAGGCCACGTGAGCGCCCGCAGTATGCCTGCCTGCTGCTGAAACCTCTGGTTTGTTAGGCCTTGAGCATCACATCTCTTACGCTCCGAGCATTCCCACCAGGCTGACTCCGGGTGGGGCGCAGAACTGGGGCCTTACTCAGATGATGGCCTACAGCCGAGAGGCAGGACGTATCCCCTCCACCTCCCAACCCTGATTTTCCTTCTCTTGTCCTGGCCTGCCACCGAGCCCGGCTCCTCGTCTTGGTTCTGACCTTCCTATGACCTTGGGCAAAGACCGCCTGTTGGGGCCTCGTTTTGGCATCTGTGCATGGGGACTCTGTCACAGCACTTTGAGGACAAGATGAGTGCTCTCTGCAGAGGGCCTGCAGTGCCACGGGCCAGCGCCCAGCAAACACTGCCTCCAAACCACCCTTGAGGTCCCCAAGAAGCCATGCAACCCCTAAACTCTGCCAATGCCCTTGGTCCTATTTGGAGTTTGGACTTTGCGGATGAGGGGATTGAAACATTTTTAATATGTGTAATTCTTGGCCTTTGTTTTTATGAGCTCTGTGAGGTTGTATCTTACTGTGGTTTAATATACTGACCTCCTAGCCAGCCAAGTAGCCAGAAACTCTTGGAGACAGGCTGCTTTGCTTGTTTAGTTTTGGTTTGGTTTCCAAGTTTGTGCGTGGGGGGCCATTCCCACCCCCCCATGCACCATGCTCAGCCCCTCCTGGCCCCCATGCCCAGAAGTGCAGGGTGGTCCCACCTCCGAGATGTTGGTCTGGTTGGGGAAGGGGAACTAAACACGAAGTAGTAATAACAAACTGGGAATGCAATTTCACATCAGTAGAGAGAGTCAGAATGTATTTTGTTATCCCACAAATAATCTGTTTTACCCTCACTCGGTGCCTGGCACCAGGAGTTCCTGACGAACGGAGCAGACTCAGCTTCCAGAGCTTTTCAGAAACCAAACATGCCTGGAACTCAGTGGGTGGGTGCCCAGAGGAGGTGGGCACCCCTCTGTGCCTGGGGACTCAGGAGAGTCTGAGGGCCGGGGCTGGAGAAGGGCAGGGAGTCAGTAGCCACAGCCAGTGGGCAGGTGGCTGAGAGGAGTCCCTCAGGTCACAAGGAGGGCTTGTGTAACCATGGGAATGAGGGCACGCTGTTCCGCCTCCCTGATGGCAGCTTCCTCCTCATGGGACCGACCTGCAGACTTTAGAAGTGAATGCATACAAATACCCCAGCACAGAGCTAGACACGTGGTAGGAGCTAAATGTGTGGCATTTTTCCTGCAATGACTGCTATTGCGACAGCACATGGTATGAAAAGTCTTTATGGAACCAGAAAAATTCGTAGTTTATTGAGTGAAAATTCGGGTTAAAAACCAGTGCCCTGTAGAGAGAGCTTCCTGTGTGTAAATGTATGTGTGACTGAAATAAAGGCAAGGAAATAGTGAGAGTGGTCAGATCTGAATGTGTGTAGCTTTTATTTTCCTTTATTCTTCAAGTTTTACAGTTGCTATGTATCAGCTTTATAACTACACAAACGTTACTAGAAAGTAGAATTCAAGAATATGCCGTTGGTATTGTTGGGGTGTGTGTGGTCATGGCAGGGCTTGGGGCATCCCATCCGGAGGGTGGCCAGGGAGAGGGGTCTGCCACAGGAAGCAGCTGGGGGTCAGGTGGGCTCACGAGGGCTTCTCCTCTGTCCCCAGACGACAGGATCTGCTCGCCACCCTTTATGGAGCTCACGAGCACGAGCCTGTGTGGGGATGACACCATGAGGCTCCTGGAGAAGAACGGCCTGGCGTTCCCGTTCAGTGCGTACTGGTCCAGGGGCTGCGGGCCTGGTGGGGGTGGCCGGCCTGTCCCCAGGGGCGGGTGGAGGCCTCGGCAGCTGGGGAGGGTGTGTCCTGGGTCCCATCCCACCTGCACCTTAGAGTTCCTGCCTGCCCGGGGGCATCCAGGTCACCCGAGTGCAGGCTGGCCACTGCTGGATCAGTTGTCTTCCTGGCTCCCACCTGCCCCTGCCCCTTGTGGGCTGCAGGACTTCCGAGAGTCTCCCTGTATCTGCTGGGTTGGGCTTTGTGAGTGAATCCCCTCACTCATTTCCCTCTGCTTTTCTCTCTCCCTTCCCATAGTTTGCAAGACCAGAGTGGCTCATGGCACCAACTCTCACGAGGTGAGTGGAGGTTTTGACTGCGTGTCCTCCTCCAGCCCCCGGCTACCTGCTCACCCTCTAGCTCGCAGTGTCCCTCTGCTTGCCTACTGGGGTCTGTGTGCTGGCTCCCACACCTGCTGCTCCCGCTCCCTGTCTGTGTGCTGTCTCCAGCGTCCCCCACACCTGTCCCATCCTCAGGGGGCCTGCCTGCCCCCTCCGAGCATGGGCAAGTCATACCCCAGTCTGATTTGTCCCTTGGCCCATCAGTAGATCACTCTGGGCATCTCCTTGGTGCCAGGCCCTGCCCTGGGTCCCACTGACAGCCCATCACTGCCAAGGATTGACCGGTTCTGCTGCATTCAGGAAGGGGCTGGGGGAGGAAAAGGCCCCCTTCCTGCCAGAGCCTGTTGACTCATCCACCCTCTTGTTCATTCTCTCATCCCCCTCATGGTCATTCCTGGCCCCACCTTGGGTATCAGGGGAAAGATGCCCAAGGTATGAGTCCTCCCCAGTGGGGGACATAGGAAGTCCCAGAGGCTGACAAAGCCAGGGTGACATGAAGGGCAGGGCGTGGAGGAAGCCATTTTGGGGCGAGGGGAGATGGCCAGGCCGGGGCTCTGTTGGGTCTCTGTTGCCCTCGTCATCCTCGGGACCACACCTGCAGTCAAGGCCCCTCTGTGTGTCACCCCTTGGGCCCAGCCCAGCCTGGGGGCCTCCCCACAGGGCAGATGGGGAGGTATGCTGGGCAGAAGAGCCAGCAGGAGGACCCTGTGGGGGGAACTGACTCTGGGCAGACCCACCATCAGAAAAGCTCCCCAAGACATATGGCTAAGCAGCAGGGCCCTGCCATAGTCACACAGCCTCTTCATCCTTGGCGTTGTTTATAGGGAAATGTCTGTGAGCAGAGAGCCTGCTGCAGTGCTGAGGTGCATGTCGTGTTGGGGCCGCAAGGTCAAAGGGGGCTTCTGCTCGTGGGGCCTGATCAGGCCTGTGGTGAGGGTCAGCTGTCTCCTGTGGTCCGGAGCCCTCTGGAGCCTTCCCCACCCAGCCTGCCCAGGCTCCGTGCCAGGCCCCAGGGTGAGCAGGAAGGCTTCAGGGCAGCCAAAATCCCCAGAGCCCGTGCTCCCTCGCTGGCACCAGCACTTGCCTGCCAGCCTTCCACCTGCCTCGCGGCTTGGGGTCAGGGCGGGAGGGTGAGCGTAGCCACCGTGCGGTCAGCCAGCTGAGTGCATTAGGTCAGCCGTGGAGAAGCACCCTGCTCCCCACAGGGGGAGCTCTGGGCTCCCACACCCCGGGGCGGGCCTGGCTTTGTGCACTGCCAGCTCTGTGGCTTCAGGCACCTGACCCAGCCTGAATGTAGGTCCCACGCTCATAGCCGGGCATCTGACGGCTGTTGGGAAGGATGAGGGGACCGAGGGGCCTGGCCCAGGAAGTGTTTGATACACTGCAGAGGAACCAGTTGTCCTGACCTGTTGGGTCATTGCAGAGGGATAGGGTTTTGGGTCCAGGTGAGTGTCCTCTCGAGAGGAGTCTGCACCCTCAGGTTTGGGGTCTGTGCCATCAGGGGAGGCTTTTTCACCCCTCAGTCCAGCTCCTCTCCTGGGTGGGGATTCAGGACCAGAGTCCCCGCAATTGGGATCTGGAGTGTTGGGGACCCCAGGAGGCTTGTGTGCGCTGTAGGCCGCCCGCCTCCTGGGAGGTGGTTAGCATCAGAGGGTTGCTTCCTCTGGTGATGTGCCCTCTGCAGCATGAGCCTGGGGCTCCGGGGCAAGGCTCCTCACCTCTTCAGGGGTGCCTGGGGGGCAGTGAGCACAGAGGTTACCTCTGTGCATGTGATTGGCTTTAAATAGGTAAGTGGGGCTTTCTGATCGGGGTCTCGTCGGTAGTCCAGCCGACCTGAGCCCTCTCTCTCAATGCCCAAGGCCCCAGCTCAGCCAAAAGCAGGGCTTGTTTTGCCAAACCTCTGTTTTCAGTTGATACCCACAAAGCTGCTTGGTTTTCTGTTACTGAGGCAGTACAGGCGCAGTGGTTTGCCCCACGGTGCAGTGTCTCCACCCACTGCCTCCCCCACCTTCTCTTTTTTAAGCTACTGAGTCACAAGCCCAAAGCCCCTCTGAGGCCACCCCATGGTAGTTCCTGTTGCTGTTTGCAGGTGAGGAAGCCCGAGCTCAGACCCGGCAAGTCCCCCAGCTGTGCTGTGGCGGCAGGTGCTGAGCTGGGACTGACCCGTGTCTGGCTCCAGAGCCACCCCACCTGTGTTCTTTCCCTTTATTCTCATCACAAGGCTGAGGAGACGGTCCCTGTGGCACATGCACACACACACATGCCTGCACGCATGTTTAGTTTCCCCATGTTGTCTGGGTCTCTGCTTCGGCCCCACGCAGCTGAGCTCCAGGCACATTGCAGTGGCATCCGTGACAGTTGACGTGGGGGATGGCAGCCAGCGCAGGCAGCCAGCAGTCTAGGCCGTCATCCCTGCCCAGCAGCCCCTGGGGCCTCTGGTGGCTCCTTCCTGCAGTCTATGGGCTGAGCAATAGCTGTGGCCTCCGCAGTGGCAGCTCGCCTGAGTGGGTCTCCAGCAGATCCAGCCTCAGCCAAAGGGAAGAGCTTTTCTCCAGCTGCCCCTCTGCCCTCCCTCCCTCTGCCACTACAAGCTCCTCCCTTCAGTGACCTTTGTCCCCGAGTAATCAGTCAGGTCTGGGGGCAGCATGTTCCCATTTCTTGAGTGTCCAGAAAACCCAGTCTCTTTCAGGGCTCTCACTTTCCAACAGGCCACTGAACTTCTCTGGGCCTCAGTTTCCTCATTCTGTAAAAGGGGCTTGATAATAGTGCCCAGTTCAAAGGTGCATTGTGAGGATGACACTAGGTGACTCATGAAGTGGGGCTGGCATATCATGTTGAAAGGCAGCCCTCATTGTTATACAGGTTTTGACCCAAGGCTGCCCAACGCCCCATCCATTGCCTTCTGCTTCCTGCCCCCGCTGCTCTCCCCCTTTGTGGCGGAGCCTCTAAGGACGTCATAAGCATTGAGCAGCATAACACCAGGGGGTCCTGCTCCTCGGACTGCAGTGTGAAGAGTGAGTTGTGCAGTGCCTGGCGAGCCCAACCCTGCATGGTGAGCCTGGTGGTACAGGATCTCAAACCCCCACAGCAGGAGTGAATTGACCGACAGGTGTTTTTCTCAATTCCCATTCCACTTACCCTGCCTTAAGTTCTGGGGAGTCCTCAGGCCACAGGGCCAGGAATGTTCTCTGGACAGGTGACATGCCCTGTGTCCAAGGCTGAGGAGGCGGTGGACTCTGACAGAGCCCTTGGCCCCCTGTCTCCCCAGATGGCCATCGTGTTCAATCAGGAAGGCCTGAGCGCCATCCAGCCACCCTGCGTGGTGCAGAACTTCATTAGCCACAATGCTGTCCTGTACAAGGTGTTCGTGGTTGGTGAATCCTACACTGTGGTCCAGAGGCCCTCCCTGAAGAACTTCTCTGCGGGCATGTCAGGTAACAAGCCTTGCGCCGTCTCAGGCCACCCCTGAGCCCAGGGCCCGGCTGGGATGCGTCCTCAGCTGTCTGTCCTTCAGCACCTCCCCTGCCGCCCTGTGTTTCTGCTGGGTGAGGGGAGAGGTGATCTTAAGGTTTAGAGAGTTGTGTACAGGAGATAAAGAGGTCTCAGGGAGCACATGGGGAGCCCCTGTTCCACCAGGCCATTGCAGGGGCTCCATGCATCTGGACCACCCTAAATTGCAGGAGGTGCCCCCCAGCTGTCTGATGTCAGCTGGGGCCCTGCACAAACCTGAGACTCACAAGCACATGTGGGCATGCAGACCAGCCCTTCAGGGCTGCAGAGAGGAGGGGGTGCTGGCTGCTTTATCGGGTCTCCTTTCTTCCAAGTGGAGAAGCACCGAGTTACTGCTGCTCCTGCAGCTGCTGAGGTGCATGTGCACTCAGCTGGAGGTCAGCAGGGCTGTGGGCCTTCCTAGCTGGGGGACCCCAGGCCTTTCAGAAGTGGGCACCCCAGCTGTGCCCCCCTCACAGGTAGGGCTGCGTCACTGAGCGTCTTGTGGAGCAGTGGATGGTGGTCCTCCGTGGCCCTCAGATGTCACTCTGGTGGCATTTGCAGGCCGCTGCCATCATTTGAAGTATTTGAGGGGCTCCTCTGGGGGGCTGAGGGGCTCTATGAGCTCAGCTTTTTTTTTTTAGCTGCTTACCCGACACCAGGTGACTCTTGGCCCTCACAAAAACTGACGCTAACATGAGGATTTGCTGATATTGGGGCTGCTTGAAAGAACGTTCTAGTGGTTCTGAGGGCACTTCTAAGGCAAGTTGCAGAATCCTCTGGCAGCGTCTTTGGACTACACTCAGCATCCCAAGGACCCCCGGAGGACGCTGGAGTGCCCTGGCGTGGTCGGCTCAAACACGCTGCGCGTTTACCTCTGCAGGCGAAAGTGCCGTAACTAGATGCGCTGAATTCACGGCTGCTCTGTCTCCCTCTGAGCAAACAGATGTGTCTTCTCCAAGTCCCTCCTGCTGAGACTGCTGTTGCTGTCTGCTCCCAGTGGCTTCAGGCCACTCCTCGTGAGGAGGCTCAGCTGTTCTTCTCCTGCTGGCCCCTTCCTTCCCATTAACACAGCACAGAGGGCACATGCTTGGGAAACGTGTGTCTGTGTTCACTTCCTCTGCTCGTAGGTGACCTTCCTGGCCAGGCCTGAAGGCTGTGTTTCCAGGGCTGGGGACAAAGTGTCCTTACCCTGGTCCTAGATGCCACCCACTGGCATGACGGAATGATCCGGGGGTGGGGAGACCACTGCCCCAAGGGGCCTTTTGTATGTGCCTGCACACCGGCAAGAGACCGTCTTACACATTGTGGGCTGCAAGAGACTTTTTTTAATCCTCTATTACATTACTGATTTAAAAATATGTATATGCGCTAAATCTATGAAAATGTATTAAATCAAGGATAGTTATACCTTATATAATCTTTCATCTTATTTTTTATTTTTTGACAAAAATCACTCCATCTTTAAAAGAAATTTAGCACTAGATTTCCTTCCTTTACACACAAAAACTGTCCCTTTTTTCTTCCTTTTTCTTCTGGTTGCAAAGTGCTGGGCCATGTCCCATCTCAGTGCTAGGGGCCCTTCCGGGCACCATGTCCTGTGTCTCAGGAGGGACGCCACATCTGTGTATCTTCTCATGGCCATTTCCAGGTTGGCTTTTCAGAAAGTGTAGACCGGGGCCAAATAGTAGATAAACACACAGAGCTAATGGACAAATGTTATGCTCGGAAGGCTGAGTAGCTTGCGGGATGTCCACCCATCCTTCCATCCCCAAAGCTGATTCCGTGTCTGCTGTCTTCAGAGTACTGTGTGCCCGGAAGCTTCATGCGTGTTCTCTTTCTGGATGAGAAGCATAACGCGTCAGTGGCCCTTTAAGCTGGACCAATTGAGCTGCTGGCTTTGGGGCTCGAGCCACTTTCCAGCCCCCACCTCTGCTTTCGGGTTCCCCTTGCCTGGTGTGGCAGGCCCGCACCATCCCCTGTCCACGTGGGGAGCTGGGGGCTCCTTGAGTGGGGTTTTTCTGGACCTGGTGTGGAGACGAGGACACCAGCTTTCCTTGCCTGACTGCTGTGCTCTTTTGATTCTTAGGTGTACTTCTGGTTTGGGCATGTGTGTCTCACAGCCAGTGATGTCTTGCAGTTACCACAGCTGGAACTGAAGTCAGGTTCTTACAGGGAGGGTTGGCCTTGACCTGTGCCAGCCATCAGGAACACTTATTCTCTGCCCATGGTTCAGTCTTGGGGAGATTGCTCCCCTCTCACTAGCCAGCATTGGGGTTGAGATGAAAATGTTCTCTGTTCCCGTTCTGGGCTGTGAGTTTATTTCTGGTCTTTTTACTGGGCATATACAATGCCTTTACTATATTCTCCATCCTTTTTTCCCTTAGGGATCTATGAAAGAATGGTACCACTCAGCACATAGAGCAAGGGTCAGCAGGCTTTTTCTGCAAAAGGCCAGAGAGGAAATATTTCCAGATCCGTCATAATTAGTTAGTGCTGCTGTGGTGGTTTGAAAACAGCTTTAGACAATATATAAATGAATGGCCATGGCTCTGTTACAATAAAACTTTATTTCCAAACACAAGTGGCAAGCTGGATTTGGCCTGTGTTATGTAGTTGCCAATCTCTTATCTAGAGCCTCTCAGGTGTCATGGGCTGTATTGTGCACCCAGCCCTGTGCTAGGGGCTGGGATTCCGTAGGGAGCTAGGTAGTCCACCAGGCATCCTGCCCCCATGTGTTTATGTTCTAGTGGGAGAAATCACACAGAAAGAAAAAACTAATGAAAAGATTAATGTAGCATAGATGAAGGGCCTCTGGGGGAAACAGTGGGTCCTGGGATACCTGGAGGTGAGGGAGCCGCCTGGACAGGGCAGCCACGGCTGACCCCTCTGCAGAGCTGAGACTTGTATGGGATCTGAGGGAGACCTGGGCCGCAGTAACACGCTCCCCCCTCCCCAGAGAGAGCAGATGAAGCTGAAGCATGGCCATGGTTCATAGCTGCACCACTAAGTTACTGGCATGTTTGGGGGTGAAACTTGTCATATACTCTTTTTCTTTTGAACCTGTCATCATCTGTAAATCAGGGACAAAATCACTTCCATTCGTCTGCTTGCTCTCCCACCACTGCACAGAACTGCCGCTGGTCCTCACCCCGGCTCTGTGTCTTGGGACGAGTCCTGGAACTGAGTGGATGGGCCCCAAATCCAGGGCCCTCCTGTGGTCAGAGTACATGCACCTCGCCAGGTCCCTCTTACAGAACTGGGTGTCAGAGCGCCCCCCAGGAGCTGGGGCCAAAGGACACCCTGGCCTGTTCTGACCACTCGCAGCTCCCCATGGTCTCCCGGGCTGTGGAGCGGTTGGAAGCTGCTCCCACTCCCTCCGACCCCTGCTCAGGCTGCGCGTGAGGAGGATATGAGCAAAGGGCAGCTCTCCTGCTTGCGTACCAGTCCTCTGGCCAGAGCCCTCATGTCAGGTTAGGCAGGAGGAGAAATGAGGCCCCTTTGACACACCCATGCTTTCGGTTGGTCCTGCCACAAGAAGTGTTCTCCAGCTCAGCAGGCACTGACCCTGCCCCTCTGAGCTCTCAGCTGTTTTCCTCGCTGGTATAGCGAAGCACCCACAGTGTTCCTTACGGCTCCTGCAGGCCCTTCCCAGCATCTCTGAACTTGGCTGTGTCTGCTCGCTCTGGGTAGCCCTACTCTGCCCCAGGCCTGCTCTGCCACCCTGGCCACTGCCTTTGGGGGGACCCATGGGGTGGGAGAAGTGCCGTCTGCTTGGTGGGGCTCAGCCAGGCTGGACTACCAGGTGAGAAGGTGGGCAGCGCCTACAGAAGGCTAGAACGCTCATCTCAGCTGCTCGAGCCCTCTTCTGGCCTCTGGCCCATTTGGCCTGCCCCAGCCCCCACAAGGCTCCCTTTTGGCAGTCAGCCCCCAGGAATAGAGATCAGTGGGGACACTTGGCGCAAGTCCTGCAGGGTGTTTATTTTCCCCAGGCTCCTCCCCAGGACGATCTCTCATGCCCCCCGTCTGGACTGGCTCTGGTCGTAGCGGCGGGAGGACTGTCGGGCACACCGGGGCGGCAAGGGGCCTGCGTGCCCCGCTAGCGGGAAGGATGCCAGGTACATCTCAGCACCTGCCTGCTTGGCCTCCACCCGAATCACTTCCTTGTGCATGATTGTTGTGGCGCCGTAATCCTGGAGCTGGCGAGGGTTGGCAGCCAAAGCAAGTGCCCCCTTGGCCTGGCCCCTAGCACGCGGGTGCTCAGTCAGGGCCTTCCATGCTGCGCTTAGAGGCCTGGGTCCCAGGGGTGAGCAATGTGGGCTGGGGCATGGGAGCCCTGGCGCCCCCTGGAAGGGCTACAGCAGAGGCTGCCGGGGCCCTGTCGGGACTCACCCCCCTGGACAACCCTGTGCCATTCTGGGGGGACACGGGGATAGAGAGCCTTTACCAGAGCTCAGCCCGAGGCTCCTGGTTGTGTGATTCTTGCATTCATGTGCCCATGCTTCCAAGCGCTCCAGAACATGTTTCTGACCCCAATGACTGACCTTGCTTTACTCTCCAGGGATGAATAAATGATGACTGCTTATTGCTGTCACTATTCTTGGGCTCCTGTGAGGCTGAGGGATTTGGGCTGCGGTGGAGGTGGGCATGAGTCAGGGTGGGATGGTGTGGAGGGTATTTCAGGGGGTGGGCCAGCTTCCAGAGGCAGACAGATTATCCTCTGTGCTTTCTTGGATGCATCCATGGAAGCCCACGTTCTGACTTCCTGTTTTTTTCCTTAAATAGTTAGAAAAGAGCAGAACTTTTTGTATTTTAGGCACTGATGTGCCAAGTGGCAGTCCGGCCTTTTCTCAAGTGCTGTCCCAAAAGAGTTCCATGGCAGATACTGGGATGGGTCAGGAATACTGGATTAAATGGCGTTTACTGGGCCTTGGATATTCGGGTATGCAGCATTCCCCACCTGGCCACCCCCATGGCCCCAGCCTCCTTTCTGGTGCCACATCCGTAAGACATGCTAGACACTTCAGGAATGGGGAAAACCAGATGTGATCCTCTGAGATGGGAGCAGAGTAAGCTCATTAAACCGGTTGTTTTTATATGGGAAGAAGAGTTGAAAAAGGAACCCAGATCGAGCATGTGTCCATCCATGGTGTAGTGTCTCCTTGGGTGATGGGGGCGCCCAGCTGGCTGGGGCTCCATGTGGCTGCCGCTGGATGCTGAGCCGAAGGCCACCGTTGCCCGTGGCTGGGCTGGTGCTGCCCCCTGGTGTCAGGTGGTGGAGTCGCCGTCCCTGCCTTGAGCTTCTAACTGTGGCCCCTTCCTTTGCTTTTTCAGATCGTGAGTCCATCTTCTTCAACAGCCACAACGTGTCGAAGCCAGAGTCATCATCCATCCTGACCGCGGTATGTCCCTTTCGCTGGGGAGGCCTGGTGGGAGGCTGCCTTGCCCCAAGCCTGCGTGTGGGGTCTCTGTGGGCCATGGGGCCCAGGCTCAGCTCCCAGCGGAGCAGGGTGGGAGGCACCTCTGCCTCCATGCCAGGGGCCCAGGAGACCCCTCTTCCTGGCTTGCCTCTGGCCTTCATGCTGATGGCTGTCACAGCCACGCCTGCTCACCACTAGGTTGCTCCTTATGGAGGGTTTCTGACTTGTCACCTCACATGAGGAAGACCCTCAAGTCCTGAGGACTTTGGAAACCTGCTCTCTGATCTGCCTTTTTCCTAGTGTACAAAGCACCATCTCCATTTTCCTTTTGCTTTCCCTGTCCATGTAAGTCCAGGATGGCGTTTGTAAGGAGCCTGCTCTTCTGTGGGTGCTGGGGTGCTTTGCAGTGTGGCGGGGGCTCAGGGCTGCTGTTCAGTGAATGTTGCTGTGTGTTGGGTTCCAACCCAGATGCCCGGTGGCCTCACAGCCAGGCCTGGAAACAAGCCTCGCAGGGGTGGGACGCCAGCTCCATTTTCCTGAGGGGGAGGCCAAGTTCATCGAGGTTAAGGAACTTCTCCAAACTCAGAGGGCTGTTCACTCAGGCAGAGCTGGGATATGCTCCCAGATTGGTCTGTTTGAAAGCCAGGTCCTTCCAGGAATTTAGGTTTTCTTATCTTGCTGGTGACTAGAGAGAAACCATTGCCCAGAGCAGGTAGGTAGAAATCGCCACTGGGCCAGCCTTTGCTCCCAGCCTAAGTCTCGGGAGCCAGTGGCCTCTGCCACCACTTCCCCTGCGCTTGGAGCCCTGTGCTCGGTGTCCCACTCCCGAGTCACCTGCCCTGGGCCCATCTCAACCCCCAGATCCACAACAGACCCCTCTTCCTGGGTCTCACTCCCCTTTTTCATGTGGAGAGCCTGCACTTGTCCTGATTACCTCCTGCCCCCCACCCAAACTGCCTGTCCACTTTCTGTTTGTTTCTGGTTCCTTTGAGGAGCCAGCTGTGTGTTGAGGGTTCAACAGAGCACACAGGCGGGCAGGGACCTGGCAGGAACACCACCCTCCCTCAGGATATTGATAGACGTTCCCTAGGAGTAAGTTCTGTGGTCAGGGAAGCTTGGGGAACAGCTCGATCTTAAACAGGGCCTCTTGGCGCCTTGCTGGGCACACCGTGAGACGTAAGTAAGTGTTCTGGGCAAGAAACGGTTGCTGGTCTTCTGAGCCTCAGAGTCCCTAGGCCAGCTCAGTTCTGAGGGGCTTCTTGCCTGCATGTGTGGCCAGTGACTCTCGGTGGAGCCAGCATTCCACAGACCTCCTGAGAGGCTGTCTCTGCCCACCACCTTGTGCAGTGTGGCCCTTGTGACCACTGGGGCTGGTAGCTGACGCCAGGGCACCCCTGTGAGGTCCGCAAGCAGAGACCTACCTGGAAGCGACCTCCTTGGGTAATCACCTGGCTATTACTTGGCCTCTTGTTTTCATCTGTAAAATGGGAAAAGGTCAGCCTAGAGATATTTCCGGGACCTTCTCTCCACCTGTAGTGTCCACTGTCGTCTTCCTCCCTTAGCTCCTGACTGAATTCAGGGATCCCCCAGGACTGACAGTGTGGCACAATAGAAGAGGGAAGTGCAGCCAGCCGTCGTCCCCTTTTCCTCTGGGACAAGAGCCCTTCCTGCGCCCTCACAGGCTGGCCTGACACCGGCAGCCCCCCATCCAGACACACACTTACTCTCCTCCCGCCCATGGTGGGGCCCACGATGGGGTGGGGTCCCTGCCCTCCCTCCCCTGCTGGGTGCCCCTGGGGTGGACCTGGTCCCACAGACAACCTGCAGGCCCCGAACACTGGTATAGGGTTTTGGCTAAGAGTGTGGACACTCTCGGGACTGTCTGAGGTGAGACCCAAGCTCCAAGCATTCCAGCTGTGTGGCCTTGGGGGAGTTACACTGCCTCTCTGAGCCTCAGTTTCCCCATCCTGCCCTGTGGGGTGGCCATGGGGTTCAGGGAGTTCCTGAATGAAAGGCTCCCAGGACAGTGCAGGTGGGGCAGTCAGTTGTGATGGGTGACAAGGGTGAGTGGGGTGAGCCACAGGGGCATCTCACCTCCATCGCCACCTTGGCTTCCAGAACATCATTGTATTTACATCCTTCGTGTTTACAACCCATGAGCAGGATTTCTATGACTTTGTCTTGTCCTGGGATGGCAATTTAGTGTCAGATAATTGAACAGCTTCAGAAGGGTTTCTGAGATTCCTTAGCTGAATTGAGCAGCGTGGCACAAGACTTTGTAATAACACAGCAGCCGTGGCCCCCCTTTCAGCTGGGCTTGTGCTGTGAGCCTTAAACATTAGCTCTTGATCCTCACCGCAGTCCCACAGTGTAGGATTCTTATTACCCCATTTATTGGGGTGAGGGAATGAGACCCCAAAGGGTACATTAAGCTCAGGGTGGGGAAGGGGCAGCAGAGGCATCTACCCGGGTCTCTCTGGCTCAGGGAGGGCCCGAGACTGCAGGCCCAGTGGCCAAGCTGCTGCGGGGCTGACCCTCTGACCTCTGACTCTCCCTGGTGGCGGTCGCCTGTCCAGGCTCAGGCAGGTACTAAGTGACGCTGAGAAAGTGCTTCCCCAGATTGGATGCCAGGGCGGCGGGCTGCAGGCCTCCATGACCCTGCCTGTCAAGCGAGCCCGCGGGAGTGGCTTTCACCGTGGAGCCCAGACGGTGTCTAGGTTGGGGGTCCCTGCTCTGCACACGTCTGGAAGCTCCCCGTTCGCCATGTTGGCTCCCTGTGCTGGCGTCATGGCCGTTTGTCCTTGGCGCCCAGGGCTCTGTCCCTGGCCCTCCTGACTCAGCTTCACTTTTTTTTCAAATTGAGGTGAAATTCACATAATACACAATTAGCTATTCTAAAGTGAACAGTTCAGTGACCTTAAGTCTCTTCGTAGTGTTGTGCCATCACCACCTCTGTCTCATTGCAGAAATTTCCATCACCCCGAAAGGAAGCCCTGTCCCCACTAAGCAGGCGTCCATTCCTCCCAGCCCCTGGCAACCGCTGGTCTGTCCCCCACTTCTGTGGACTCACCTCTGCTGTACCTTCCACGTTAACGGAATCATACACTGTGTGACCTGTTGTGTCCTGTTTTTTTGACTTCACCTGATGTTTCAGGGTCCATCCACATTACATTCTCTCCCATTGTGTGGATGGCACCATTTGTTGATCCATTCATGTGCTGATGGGCATTTGGGTTATTTCCTCCTTTTGGCCCTTGTGAATACTGCTGCCATGAAGGTTGGCATATAAATACCTATTTTCAGTCTTTTGGGGACGTACCGAGGAATGGAATTGCTGGGTCATACAGTAGGTCTATGTTGCACTTTTGACCCAGCTTCCCTTTATTTCTGATGGGTCAGCCACCCTTCTTCCCCCGGGACTCCAGCATTTAGCAAGCACCTGCTGTGAGCTTCCTCTGGCTGACGGAGGGGTGACTGGTGCTGTGCCTGCCCGAGCCCGCACAGAGCACCTCCTCTCACCAGCCGTGTGCTGCTCCCTTCGTATCGATTCCCCCCTGATTCCCTCACAGCAGTCTGGGATGGAGGTTCCTTGGTTCCATTTTGCATATAAGCAAATTGAGGCACAAGGAGCCCAAGTACTTTTCAATGAGACCAAGGAGCTAGGAAGTCACTGCCAGGGTCCATATCCAGGCCCCTCTGGCCCTGAAACCTTACTAGGGCAACATTCTGCTCCTCAGAGGCCCTGGCCCGGGGCTGGTCCTGAGCCCATGAAGATTTGTGTGTCTGTCCCAGGGCAGCTGTGACTAGAGCAGAAAATAAGCACAGGGGGGAGGGCTGTGCAAAGGGACAGTCCCACAGGGGCTTCGCTGAAAGCTGAGCTCACACCCCGGGAGTCAGACAGGAGCAGCAGCGTCGCCAGTCTGAGGTAGCCCGCTTGGCGTGCGTGAGTCAGTGTAGAAACACCACTGCTAACCGTTCGGGAAGGGAGATCAGTGAGCCCCGCCCAGGAGCCCCACCACCCCCAAGTGAAGGCTGGTCCACAGACCCCTCTACCTCAGGGCCTCCGGGCTCTGGAGGTGGGGGCGGGGGTGAGCATGGGGACGCCAACCAGAGATCCCTGCAGCCCACTCCTGCCTCACCGATCGGCCCTCACCAGTCTCCTGCAGGAGCCTCTGCGCCTCCACTTCCACTGTGCCTGGCCCAGCACCCACCCTTCTCCGCCCCTGCCAGTCCTCCTCACCTCCAAGGTCCAGCTGGTCACATGCTGCCTGCCCCATGACATCCTCTGGGGTTCACAAGAGGCTCCTTCTCCTTCCCCTGCTGTGGAGAGAGTCAGGGGTTTAGAGGCTAACAAATGGGTGCAGATCCAGCCCTGTGCTTTTGTGCTGAGTGAACCTGGACAGCCCCTGACCCTCTCAGAACTTGAGGTTCCCTGGGTGTAAAAGGCTGATAATAGTGCCCACCCCCCGGGTCGTTAGGAGGACTAGAGGGGTAACATGCTCTGTACACCCAGTACTTGCCCATCCGCAGGACTTGGGAAATGGTTATCCGCGGGCCACTGTGGCGGGTCTGTCCTGCCTCCTTGCCTGAGGGTAAGGCCAGCCCTAGGGCGCTTCACGTGGGGGTCTCAGTGTGTGGCGTGGCTTCGCACTACCCCACCTATGGCCTGACCCCCGTGTGTATCGACAGCTGGACAAGATCGAGGGCGTGTTCGCGCGGCCAAGTGATGAGGTCATCCGGGAGCTCTCCCGGGCCCTGCGGCAGGCGCTGGGCGTCTCTCTCTTTGGGATCGACATCATCATCAACAACCAGACCGGGCAGCATGCTGTCATCGACATCAACGCCTTCCCCGGTGAGCGGCAGGGCTGGGGCTTCAGGTGACACGGCGGGTGAACTGGGTTCACCAGCTCCGTCCCTAACTGCCTGTGGTGCCCGAGGTAAATGCAGCCCCTTCCAGACATTAGCCCCACCTGCAAAATGGGTGTCCGGGGTGTGGTGAGGTGCTAACAGTCCGTACATCCGGCCAGTGAGAGCGCCAGGCGTGTGGTGGGCCACACTTCACATGCTCTTTCCCCTTCCCCTTCTGTCACTGCACCGTCAGCATTAGCCTTTTTGGCCGAACCTCAGCCAATCCCCGGGTCCTTACTGATCTAAAGAGCTGAAAGGATGCCTGAGGGAGCACAAGACCCCCAGCTGACCTGTCACAACCTGAGGCCCCTAGAGAAGGAGGAATTGGTCAGGTCACATTGTGGGTGGGTGGCAGGACTCTGCTGCTTCCCCCTGAGCCCTGGCGCTGTGGACAGGCCCTGAGCCAGCCAGCTCCACGTAGCTGCAGCGCCTGCTCCCTGCTGGAGCAGAGGTGGAAGCACATGCTGGGCCCTCAGGGCCTGCTGGTACCACCGGCTTTGCCCTGTCCGACTCAGATCTCAACTCGGTGAGGGGCTCACCACCGTCCATGGGGCTGTTAGCCTGCGGGGGCAATGATGGTGACATACCCAGCTGGCACTCCCTGGGACGAGCCCCCCTTCCCAGGAGCACACTGAGGCTGAGTGACTCCTCGCCCTCCCGGCAGGCCCTCTTACCTTTATCAAGTACTGGCTGTAGGCGTAAAGCCAGCGTCATTGCTCAGTGGGTGTAAAAGGGTTCAGGGAACCAATTCCTGCCCTCAAGGAGCCCATGCTTGGCATGTGGGGACTGCTCAGTGGCATTTGCAGGCTGCAGGATAAGCCCTCCTGCACGGGGTGTGGAGCATGACTGCAGGGCTGTACCAGGCCCTGGGCTGGGTGCTGGGTGTGTGTTCCCCCTGCACTCCAGAGAGGATGTAAGCCAGGCCTGGCCAGTGTCACACTTCACAGCCAAGGAAACCAAGGTGCAGAGAAGGCCTCTGGCACCCTCAGTCATTCAGGGCACATGGGCCAATGGCCATGGCATGTCCTGGATGATCAGACCCGGGTGCAGGTGAGCGTGGCTGCCAGGGCCCTCAGAGGGCATGGTGCCCAGGGGCTCCTTGAGGTAGTGACCTGAGAGCAGAGCCCATCAGGACAGGAAGGAGCCCCCTGCTAAAGCACCCCAGGCAGGGTAGTGTGGAGGCCCAGGGCCCTGAGGCCTGGATCGCAGCTGGAGCAGCACAGGGCAGGCTGGGGCAAGGAGGTCAGAGCGGAGCCCGGCACGCAGGGAAAGGGAGTGGCAACCGAGCTCTGTTTTCTCCTATAGCAAGTCAGACCCACTGGGACATTGGCCTGTTTTTCTCCAGTCGCCCTGGGTGCAGCCTGGATGGGGAGTTGGGTCTTGATGAGCCAGTGTGGCAGAATGAGAGCCAAGGGAATTGAGGGAGCGTCAGGGGAGCAGTCATACTAAATCGGAGGATCCAAAGCAGGGGGGACGTGGGGGTGCTGCTGGCGAGTCAGCGCGCTGGAGGGACGGGGCTGTCAGGGCAGTTCCAGGAGGATGGGTGCAAGGTGGGGAGAATGAGGCTCTGTGGTTGAGCTTTGCATTTGTGCAGGGTCCAGAATCAGCCCCTGCCAGTACTGTAGCTGTGTGGATGGGGTGTCCTGGGTGTTGAGAGGAGGGACCGTCATTGTGAACCAGCGTGACAGCAAGGCTTCTTCCAGGGAAGCCAAGGGAAGGGCCCCCGAGGCAGGCCTGGGTGCCGAGGGGTTTCCGAGGCAGCAGGGCGATGAGGCCGAGCTCGGCAGAGACGGCACGAGGAGCCCGATGCCGGCTGCAGGCCCGTGGGGGGCGCATACAGCCCGGGGCTGCAGAGGAGGCGTCCGGGAGGCAGAGCCCACGGCCACAGCCACTCCCTGGATTCTCCCAGCCTGGTTTGTGAGCCTGGGCTAGGACTCCCGTGGGGCCCAGCCTGGGGAGTGGGCCTGTTCCCCTGGCTGCCTTGGGGTGCTGGGTGTCCGGTTGTGCCCCATCAGAGGGGCGGCATGTGGGGCCGTGTCCAGGACTGTCAGTGTCTGCCATGCAGCAGCACAGCGCATGAAATACTGTTAGCACGTCACCTGTGGGGACATGGGGACGGGCTGGGTCACTTATCCAAGATCACATGGCCACCAAGTTGTAGAACCAGGATCAGGGCCTTGCATTCCTGCCCAAGAGGCTTCCTGCCTCCCAGCTCGAGCCATGGATTCAAATCCTGACAGCTCTTACAGTCTGAGGGGACTAGCCCCTCACTGGGATGGCGTCGGTGTTCACTTGAGCATGGCAGGAATCACATTCCCCGCCTCACAGGGACAGAGAGGCTGGCGTTCGCACAGTGCGAGGTCACGCCTCAGTCTGCTCTCCCCAGATGCCAGAGCGGCCCACATGGCTTCTCCCTGGCATCCAGGTCACCCATGCCTCCACACCACCCAGGGGGCACGCACCCCCTGCCCTAGGCCTCTTCTGGGGCAGCAGAGTGGTGGCTGAGGAAACTGCTGTGTTCCTTGGTGGTGACCTGACATGGCCCTCCAGCTCTCCTCCCACTGCTGTGCGTACCTGCTGGTGGTCCCCGAGTGCCCGGGTGCCCCTGCCCTTCCTCTACAGCCTCAGGGCTGAAAGAAGCCCCCAGTCCTAGGGGTACCCATACCACATGGTATTCAAGCTCAGCAGCACTGACCGGCCTGGTTCAGATCCCAGCTCCGCCACTGTAGTGGCTGTGTGTCCTCAGTAAAGGGGGGATGATCCTGGGGCCCCCTGCCTGGGGGCTGCCCAGACGCCGTGAGCTGGGAACATGAAGTGTGGGCCCCAGGCCAGCGCTTGTGAGCCTGGATAAGCAGCAGCCATGGCCACCGGCACCATCTTCACCCTCATGGGGACCAGTCGCATGTCCTGTTGGCGGTCCTCTGTCTTTGAGCCAGTCACTGAACCCTCAGGCCTGATGCCTCATCTGCAGTGGGGACAGAGAGCTGCGGCATTGCAGTAGTGGGTCTGCTCCAGTGGGAGTGCCATGCGCGCCAGCTCGCTCATCCATCTTTCCACTCCGGGTGCCCCTGCATCCCCCCTCAGCCTCCAGCTCTCAAACCTCAGCAGTTTGCTGAATGAGTGCGTGTGAGAACAAGCGAGGTGCCCAGCCGGCTTTCCTGTAAAAGGAAGTACATCTGCCTGGTTCTGAACCTTCCCTGTCACCCAGCTCATGCCCACGACTCTTGAGGACCGGTTTGCTGACATGTGCATTTGAGCCTGTTGGAAAGTAGATCCTCCAGACAGGGGCCCGGCAGTTTCTGTTCAGGAGACACGGACCCGCTTGTTGGGGGACAGGTGGGTGTGCATCGGCCTTGTTGGCAGTGCCCAGTCTCTGTCTGTGAGCTTTGATGCTCAGACCATGGGCAGAGAGAGCCTCCTGGCAGGTATGGGCAGGAAGAAGGAAGCAGAGCCAATTCCAGGAGCTGCTGTTGATCAGCATTACCCCCAGTCCAGCCCCTTGTGCACACCGCAGCCTCCCCTGGGACTTCTCAGTTTACACCTGGGGAGCCTGGTGCTGTTTTTGATTCATGATGTGAGTAGTGGACCTTGGTAGTGCCACCTCCAGCAATGCCACGTTCCATGTGGCCTCAGGCCATTTGGCATGAGTAATGAAATGAGATGCTGAAGCTGTGCCCAAGGGGACAGGGCCACAGAGCTTTTTCCCATCCACTTAAGGTCTACAGCTTGTCACTGGGGACAGCTGAATTCAAGGACCACCCCTTGGGGCCACACACATCCACCTTTGAATCCAGGCTGTGTGGCTTCACTTGGCCCCCTCCCCCACTAAGCCTCGGTTTCCTATGTAAGTGGTATCATGACAGCACCCACTTTGAGTCCTCCCTGAAGGATGCACTTTCCAACAGGCTCAAATGCACACATGTCAGCAAACCAGTCCTCAGGAGTTGTGAGCATGAGCTGGGTGACAGGGAGGGTTCAGAAACAGGCAGATGCGTTTCCTTTTATAGGAAAGCCGGCTGGGCACCTCACTTGTTCTCACGCGTACTCATTCAGCCCTTAGTGCCCTTGCGCCCTCCACTGCTCCCACCCCCAGAGCCCGCCTCCCCCTCCCCCTGCTGAGGCCCTGTGCTGTGTGTCTCCCTCCTCCAGGCTACGAGGGTGTAAGCGAGTTCTTCACGGACCTCCTGAACCACATCGCCACCATCCTGCAGGGCCAGAGTGCAGCCACGGCAGCTGCAGGGGATGTGGCCCCACTAAGGCACAGCAGGCTCCTGGCAGAGCAGGCGGGCAGCCTGGCAGGCGAGCGGACATGCGGCACTGGCCCTGGCTGCTGTGGCAGCACAATGGGCCGGGACCCACCCTGGATGGCGGAGGCCGACGCGGGCAGCGTGGGTGCAGGTGGCACCACCAAGCTGCCACACCAGAGACTCGGCTGCACCGCCGCTGTGTCACCCAGCTTCCAGCAGCATTGTGTGGCCTCGCTGGCCACTAAGGCCTCCTCCCAGTAGCCATGGAGCCCAGGACCCGGAGGGGTGGCGTGGGCCGCGGAGCACACCTGCTGGGCAAGCAGCTTCCAGTGGGGACGCTACTACTAAGAATTCCCAACCATCTGATCCTTTTTGTTTTTTTTTTTTAATTTTTAACCTGATTTTCTGATGATCTGAATGAGGGGTGGGTGGGGGAATGTGGAAGAGATCCCCAAGTGGTCCAGCCTTGCAGAAAAGGGCCATCCCGCCTAATACCTGCTGTGCAGATCTCTTCACTGAGTTTACACATGCTTGTGTTTTCAACACTAGGTCTGAATGTGAGGTGGAGCATGTGTGTGTGTGATTGCCGTGTGTGTGTGAGTGCGTGTGCATATCCACATCTGTTCGTCTGGATGGCTTGCTGTGAATCAGGCCTCAGGGAGCCTGGAGGGGGCCGCACCGGCCAGGCTGTCGGCAGCTGAGCAGAGCCAACGAACAGTTGCCTGGCTCACTCTCCTCCAAGCGCCCACACCGAGGCCTGGCCCTGTGCGTTTCCCCCGCTGCTGGCTGCCTCCGCAGCTTTGTGAGGAGTGGGGCCTGAAGACCCGCCCCAGGGTGCCGCTGCACCTACTGAAAGTGGGAGCCAGAGTTGGCGAGAAGCCGCAGCTGCGTTTCCCTGGCAGGGGCCAGGGTAAGGGGGTGTATTCCTAGCAGGGCGTCTGGGCTGCGGTCTACTTGCTGCCCTCATGAAGGGGAAGGAGAAGAAGGCCTCCAGGGGAGGCCAAGGCCTCGTAGGCTGCCTCTCTCCATGTCCAGTACCCCAACACGTGTCCCACACAGCCCTGCGAGGAGGCCTTCCTAGCTGACCAAGCACTGCTGCTCCCAGGACCCAAGAGGAGGCTGCCTGACTGGGAGGCCCTGGGCAGATCCCGCCTGTGCCAAGGATTTGTGCTGTTTCTTTGGGCAAGTCATTCCAAGAGACCCCGGGCCTCCAGCGTGCCCTCGTTTCTGACGGCTACGAGGAGACCAGAGGACACTGAAGTGTGGGCTTGATGCCCTTGCCCCTGCAATGCAGCCTGCTTCTCCACCAAGTCGGCCCAGATGAGCCTCCCCCCAGCATGGAGGCAATTTGGGGCTCTCTTCTCGGGCAGCAGGAGGCTGTCCATATTCTTCACTCCTGTTCACACCTGCCCAGTTCCTGCTTCCCAGCTGGCCTGATCCAGCCCCTTCCATGTCCTCTGCGAGCCCCAAGCACTGTGCCAGCCGGGCGCGAGGGAGCTGCAGCCCCAGAGGTCCGCAGAGGACATGCTGCCCCTCCTGCATTAGTCACCCCCGGCCCTGATGGTAGCAGACAGACCACTGGCTGATCATACTAGATCCCACAGCCCAGGTGGGCTGACATCCCCCTCTGCAGAGAAAGGGCCCAGTGAGGCGCTTTGTCAGTCGGACAGTGTGAGCCCTGGGCAAGATGCAAAGGACCCTGAGTGTGTCTTGATTTAAGATATCAGTTCACTTTGAGAAAGGAAGAAAGGCCTCTGGGCCATCCTGTGGTCCTGGAAGGGTGCCCCAAGAGAGTCTGTTGACTGGGTGCTCGGAGGTACCTTCAGTCCCGCCCACCTTGGAGAAGAAAGGGCTGGGTGGTAACTGCCAGGAGGCGGCGCGCGGCCTGGGGTGAGGCGGGCCCATCAGACCTGCCCGGCTCTCCTGGACACCATGGGCCTGCCGACTGCCGCGTTTACACGACTTGGGTGTTGAATCCTGATTATAATGTCTGTACTGTGCCTTTCCTAGGCTACCCGAGTCCCAGGGAAGCAGGAAAGCGTGGCTGGCCTCTTGCACTGCTTTGTCTCCAAAATAAAACTACTGAAATCAAACTGCGTTTCACAATGTGTTTACAAAATGTCACTGAAAGTTTCTGTCATTCTTCCTGTCTCTGAATAAAAGAGCTTTGCGTTTTTGAATGAAATTCCAATCCAGGTCTGCCTCAAGATCAGGTGGGGAGTACAATGTCCCCGATGCCAGGCTGGGGCCCCAGACCCTGTTGTGTCCCCATGTAATACATGTCACCCCCAGGGTCACACATTAGCATCCTGGGCCCAGATACCGAGTAACTTCCCGTGACGTCGTGTTTTCCACTGGCTCTGTTGTGAGCAGCGAGCAGGGTGGTGGTTTTCTGGGAGTGGAAACCAAGGGGCGGGGTTTGGCATCGTAAAGGCCCTGGAGCCACTGGTTGGCACAGGATCATGTGCAGGCCTCGCCTCACCCCCCTCCTGGCTAGTGGGCATCCAGCAGCGGCTCCTCTGGCCAGGCTGAGAGCTGTGCCCGGGAACGTGAGTGAGAAGAAGCACTGAGCAGCCTTGAAGCACTGCTGAGTGGCCCCTGCCCGTTCGAGTCCCAGAACAATGTCCGTGGAGTTGATTTCTCCTCAGGCCTTGTCGCTGATCTTGGCTTCCTGCTTCCCGATGGGAGTCTCCAGAAATGGCAGGGCCCATGGGAAGGGTCTGCTGTGTGCAGGTGTGGGCCGTGGGGTTGGCCCCGCCTGTGTCCCAGGAGCACTTAGCACTCTCACTCCCGAGCTTGTTGGCCAGTCGGTAACGTGGTGGGGTCTGCGGCCCTGCAGCATTTATCTTGCTGGTGGTCAGTGGCTGGGACCGCTGAAGGCACTCCTGACTCTCTAGGCTCCAGGAGCAAGTGGCAGGGCCGTATTTTGACTGAGGCCTTGGGTACGTTCAGAGGGTCAATTGTGAGATGGCTGCTGTGGGCAGCCTGGAGTAGAGAGCCAGCTCTCCCTGCGGACGCTTTGATTAATGTGATGCTGTAGCCATTCAGCCCCACTGAGCGCAGACGCTGCATGTCCACCCAGGGGATCCGTGTAGGGTCCTCGCCTTTGGCATCATGGAGGGTCTGGATTTGCAGCACCTGATGGATCAGTGGGGCCTGGAGCCACGCAGCCTCACCTCCAGGAAGCAGACCCAGCCGAAGTCCCCAAGGAATTCTGTGGGACATCTTTTAAGTGGGCTTTCCAGTACCTTCATCCTTCAGTGAAGGTGAAAACAACCTAAAAAATCCTCTCCTCCCAGAGGACTGCCAAGTGGGCTTTGGGGAAGGTTGGTGAACCCTGGCCAGAAGCTGTCATTTTCAAGCCAACTGGGAAAAGTGGCTGTTGTCTGCCAGGCAGGTACTCTGAGACCAGGGGGGCTGTGTCCTTGTCCTAGCCTAGAGGATGGATCCTCAGCTCATGCACACACACCGGCCACAGGCCACAAAGCCACTGCATGGCTTCACTGATGTCCTTGGGGGTTGCACCCACATTCTCCTGTGTCCCTAGAAAGCGGCCGCTCACCCAGCCAGATCCCCACAGCACCTCTCCCTTAGGCCACAGGTCAAGGGCCTTGCACTCCCAAGACCTTTAGTTGGATGCTGGCTGTCCTGAAAGCACTTCCCTCCACATGGCTGTCCCCAAGACAGAGAAGTGCATCTCTCCTCGACAAAGCTGGGCTCCTACCTCCGGTCAGCCTGGCGAGGCACTGATGCCACCCATGTCCCCCTGGCTGTGCCTGAGCCTGAGTCTGAGATGATGTGGTCAGAGCCTCTGGACAGGCAACTTTCCATGGGCCCCACCCTCGGTGACAAAGGGCCTGTGCTGCTGCCCCTTCTCTGCGCAGCACTGCCACTGCAATCCTGGAGGGGCCCCCCTGCCCCTGCCCCTGCCCCGCCCCACTATTCAGAGCAGAGCTGTTACTATGGAATAGCCTGGGCCCTCTTCCTTCTGGGTCTGGGTCTGCCCAGGCCACCTGGGGCCTTTACCAGAAATAGTTCCATTTCCTCTTTACCTCCAGAGTTGTCAAGTGACCTGGCAACTTGGGGGTGTGTCCCCTTCCCACAGCCTGACTACCCTCTTCTTCCAGGGCTGTGTGTGGGCTCACACCTCTCTGAAACTTGCTGTTTCTCCAAAAGCTTCCTGCATAGTGATTTCACCAGGACAGTGGCCTTTCCCGTTTTTAGTACTGACCTGTGTGCTGTGTGACAAATGCTGTTTGCTTCAGTCCCGTCCATGAGTAATGATTACCAGAACCCCAGAGTGGCTTGTACTTAGTTTATATACATACATGTATATGATGTTTATAAATACAATATATATAAAATCATGGCTTCTGTAACCAAGAATCTTTCTCCACTGGCTCTTTTGATTTGGCTGTGTGTGTGCTCCCTGTGAGGATGACAGTGTAGGTGGCCCGTCCTTGGGATGGGTTATTCCAGGGACGAGATGTCCCCGTGTTCCCTTTATTTGCTAACTAGTGTTGATAGCGGATGTTTTTGTATCTGACCGACTAGTGGAATACAGTTAGCGTCGTGTTTATTATATCTTTAACTGCTGAGGGTGGAGGGTAAACTTTTGTCTCTTTGAAACGTATTAAAATAAGCACCTTATGGCACCAGCTCTGTGGAGGGTGTCCGTCTGTGCTTCGGGGGGCAGACAGCAGCAGCACGGACAGTCCCCCTGCCAGCCTCACAGGAGAGGCTGACTTGCCCAGACCCTTCCAATAACTCATTCTAATGATTCCCTGTTCCAGGCTTCCAGGGCCCCTCAGGTCCTCACCCGATCCTGATTTAAGTATTATCTTCATTTTGTAGATGAGGAAAGAGGCTCTGAGAGGGCCAGAACACTTGCCCACGCTCTCTGACTTCTTGAAGTCAGGGCTTGGCCAACCATCTCTGCACTCACAGGCTGAATGATTGGCCCTGGTATTTAGCTGGTCCATTCTGTTCACATAATCCCTCCGTCCCCATGTTTCAGCATTTTGGGCGTCACCCCTGCCTGTGACTGATGTGTTATTTCACCCTCTGAGCCTCAGTTTCCTTGTTTTCTAAACTGAGGCAGACCTGCCTGCTCTGCGGAGCTGTTAGATGTGCGAGAATCTAAGACGCCCAAGTCCTGTGCACCCCCAGGTCGAAGGGGCTGGCAGATTGATGCGGAGGGGGCCTGCAGCTCGCATCCCTAGCTCAGGAAGTCCAAAGCTGGTCCAGGGCCTGCAGCCTTGGTGGTAGGCACTAGCCTGGGGCTGTCAAGGTCTCTACCCGGTGCCACAGAGAGCAGAAGATGTTTCCAAACTGGCCCCAGCTCAGGTGTGGCTGGGAGATGGAGAAGAGGGGGCAGCTCTGCTTGTGTTCCTTGATCCCCATACCCACGGAGGCAGGTATCAGCATCCCCATTTTACAGATGAGGGAACATGCTCAGGGGAGCAAAGTCATTTTCCCACAATCCTAGGGCTAGGATCTGGGAAGTGGCCCCAAAAGGGGCTGCCCAGAGGGACTGAACCTCCCCCTGTCCCTCTGCCCAAATCCAAGCCATCTGACCCCCACTCTGAGTCAAGAAAGAGGAAAGAGCCCAGAGCAGATTTATTTTTCCTTAGATAAATTTCATACAGAGTACATTACAAGCAGGAGCTCTCAGCTCTCACCAAAGATCGGAAGTTACTGCAGTTGTGCCAATGGCTCTGATGGTAGAAAGGAAACTCTAGAGAGCTGCCTGTGTTCAGAGAGAAGGTAATCCTTAAAAGTCATAGGGGTCAGCCCTACAGAGGGGTACACAGGGGCAGGGGTGAAGGAAAGGATGTGGGGGCAGGAGGGTGGGCTGGGCCCAGCCTCCCTACCAGAAGCAGCGCCCAGGCCGTCTGGCCAGGACCTGCAAAGGGGACAACAGAGCCAGGACCACAGGATGCCTTGGAGCCCTGGCTGATGGGGCCAACTGGCACGTCAGCCCTGCTGCAGCGCCTGCAGCTGGTGGGCCACCTTCTCCAGCTCCCCCTCAATGGCCAGCAGGCTCTCAAGCTCCTGGTCCTAGGAAAGAACAGCAAGAGTCACGGGGACTGGCCCAGGGTGCCGGTGCCCGCAGCACGGAGCAGGCAGCCAGCGAGGCTGGTTGTGCCACTGATGAGCTGTGTGGCCTTGGACAGATGGCGTTGCTTCTCTGAGCCTTAGGGGCTTCATCCATACATGAGGACAGTGAATGGGGGGTAGTGGGGGGCCTAACTCCACACTGTGACCTCTTATCTAGGTCTGCCTCCTCCTGAATGGCTCTAGGCAGGCATGTGGAACACAAAGCCTCTGGTGCCCGTCAGAGCTCCTCCCAGTCCCTCCACCCCACGGCCTGGACTGTGACGAGGGCTCCCAGGCTGAGGCCAGGCCTCCTCACCGGAGGGGCCATGGGCCTGTGGCACAGGCTTGAGGATATAAGCCCCACCTCCGCCTGCCCTTGATTTCTGGCCCTGGTCATGGGGCCCCCAAGCTCTGGCTGCCAGGGCAGTTGGGGACCCTCCTGTGAGCTCTGCTCTGTGCCCCAGCCTCAGGAAGCTACAGGCTTCCCGGAGCTGGACTGACACCCTCAAGGGCATGCTCCCAGATTCGGTGCAGTAGTCAGGGAAGGCCACCCCCTGGCTGACCTGGGAGGGACGGTCTTCCTGGGGTCCCTTCCTGGCTGGATGCCAGGCCACGGAGAGCACCCGCCTAGGGCTCAGTCAGAACAGGTGGACAGCAGTTGCCATGGACATGGGGTCGCTAGAGCCCTCCGTCTTGGGGGAGCCCCAGGCATGAGCCCTGTGATGTTGGAGCCTGTGATGCTTTTTAGGGATCCCCTTGGGCTGGGTAGAGAGGACCTGCCCCATCCTGTCCACATGGTTCTGGGGCCCCCATTTCGCTGCTGTCCAGGGCTTCCTCTGCCAGTGGAGAAGGGACACTGGCCTCAGGGCATCTCGCTCCCTCCAGCTTACTGGGTGGGGTTAAGAGTTAATGAAGGTGCCAGGCTTATCCTGGGTCCAAAAGCTGGGGGTGGGGAGCAGGCTGCTGCTTCCTGTAGCTCTTTCCTTTCAGTCTTCTGGGGACAAAGGTAAATAAATGATCTCTCCCAGTGCCAGCACCTAAGGAAGGTCCTTCCTCTGAGGCCACAGAGACCCTGGTTCCAGGCCCGGAGACTGAAAGAAGGGGCCACATCCTCTTCTGGGTGGGCAGAGAAGGGCATGGGGCTGAGAAGAGCTTGGACAGATCCCAGCCTGCCACAGGCCCTGATTCCCACCTGGGCACTGGGGCTTGAACCACGGACCCCCCAAAGCCTCCTCCAGCCCCAAGGTGGTGCTGCCAGCCTGCCAGGGACCCCAGCTCCTGTCCCTCCCATATCTTCTGGGGGTGCATCCCTACACCCCCTGAGCTGCCCAAGTAGCCCTGGGCATGGCCTGGTTTTCAAAGCTTGGGTGTGTTCCGATCGTGATAACTCCTGCCCCTCCCATATCTTCTGGGGGTGCATCCCTACACCCCCTGAGCTGCCCAAGTAGCCCTGGGCATGGCCTGGTTTTCAAAGCTTGGGTGTGTTCTGATCGTGATAATGAGGTGAGCAGGAAGGACTCCTTACCCCCATTTCACAAATGGGGGAACCAATGAGGCTCAGAGAAGGGGAGTGACCCACCCAAGGTCACACAGCTAGGAGAAGGCAGAATGCAGGTCTTCCGGCACATGTCCGTGCCTCCCCCAACTCCCCACCAAGTCCCAAGGTCCAGTTGGCCCTGCCCCTGCTCCTGTGCCATCAGGGGCTAGAGGCAGTGCCTGAACCTGGGAGGATGGCGTACCTGGGCTGATTGGGGGCCAAGAGAGAACACGGCCAGACCATCCGCAGGGGCCTCCCAGGACACCACCTCCTCTCCCTCCCTCCCAGCTCTTCGGGCTAATGCACCCGCAGGCCTGTATCCCCCAGACAGCTAATGGCCCTCTGCAGGTCAGCCCCTGCCAGGCCCTTTAGTGTCTGAGCTCTCTCCAGCCCAGGCTCCAAGCTCTTGTTCCCAAAGCTGCCCAGCGCCCTGCTGCCTCCAGGACAAAGTCCCTGTGCCAGGCTTTGGGGACTGGTTCAACTCAACACGTGTCCAGCTTCCATGCTGATCTGAACATTTCTCATTTCCTGTCTGGCTGGCCGCTAGTTTCACTGGGTGCCTTCTGTGAGCAGGGTTCATCACCTCCCGGCCTGACATACCTTTCCTCCTGCCCCTTCCTGGCTGTGTCCCGAACCCAGGCCCTCTGGGGAGCCTCCCATGAGACCCCGTCTGGGCACCTCTGCAGTCCCAGACTCCAAGGGGACCATGTGCTCTCAGCGGGGCAGGGGCCGCACACCCGGGTGGGGCTGCCCTCCCAGCTGGGCCCACACTCCGGAGGCCCGTCCCGGGGCCGGCTCCCACCCAGTACCAACCTCTGGTCTGCGGTTGGCACTGCCCTCCTCCTCTTTCTTCTCCTCCGGGTAGCTGCGCACCTGGAGGGGCAGGCCCCCCTCCACGCTGTCCTCCAGGGAGGACGGCCTCCAGTCTCGTCGCAGCTGCAGCCCAGGGCCCCGGGAGCCATCGGCCCGGGCCCTGGAGGCGGGCTTCATGGGGCGGTCAGGGTCGTCCTCCTCGTCCTCTGCCACCAGCCGCCTGTCGGCCGTCAGCTCCTTGGCCAGCCGGTCCATCTTGCTCCACCGCTTGGCATCCTCCCACTGCTTGGAGAGCCGCTCCTCCTGCTCCTGCTGGGAGTGCTGCCCCTTCCCCTCGGGGCGCGGTGCCTCCTCCGCCCCAGTCTTCCTGGCTCCACCCTCGGCCAGAGCCTCGGACCAGCCTGGGGGCAGGTGGGGGACAAGAGCAGGACAGTGAGGGAGGACTGCCCTTCCCCAGTCCCTGCCCCTCCCCCTGGGACCACAGACCTGCACTCAGGGTCCAGCCCAGTCCTTTGCCACCACGTCGCACTTGGAGGGGAAGCCATCTTGACACCAGGTTTTGCAAAACCCTCTAAGCTCAGGGGCTGGGGGTCTGGCCAAAGCCTGGCTCTTACATTGGCCATCTCACCACAGAAGCCCCTGACCCGGGGGTCATGCAGCTGGGAAGGGAGGAAAGGCTCTGACAAGGTGCTGGGGTCTCTCCTCAACACTGGTGGAAGCTGACACTGTCCCCAGACCAACCTGTTCCCACCTGCCATGCTCTCCCTCGGTTCCCAAGACCCCCCCGCCCCACCCTGCAAAGCCCCTGTTGCCTCCTGAGTTGGAGGGGAGGGGCTATGTGGAATGGCAGGAGATGCATGGTTTTGGAGTCAAAGAAACGGGGGCTGGAATCAGCTCTTACTACTAATGAGCTGTGTGACCTTGGGCTGATTACCTAACCTCTCTGCACCTGTTTCCCATCTGGAAAATGAAGATAATACCTCCCTTTCAGGGCTGCTGTGAAGGTGGCATGAGATCACGGATGAGGACCCTCTCCCACGTGCCCTCACCCCCGACCCATATGCTGAGGTCTCAGACATCACACATACTCTTGCCCCTCCGGAGCGCCTTGTAGCCAAGGCTTGGGTGGGGCTTCAATGCTGCGGTGGGGCCTTCCTCCTCAGGGACAGCCTTCTTTCCAGCCTCTGTGTCCTCCTCCTCCTCTCCTCTCTTTGCCTGCTGCTCTTGCTCTGCACCCAGGCCCGTCTCTCTGTCCACCAGACCTTGGGAGAGGCCCTCGCTGTCACCCTTGGCCTGTGGGCCTGGGTGTTTCTGGCTGGGGAGGGGGGTGTTGGCGGCCTCCTCCTCCTCTGGGGCCTGGTTGTCCTCAACCTTGGGCTCCTGCCCAGGCTCTGGGGAGGCCTGGGGCCTGGCCCCATCCGTGTCTTCACCACTCTTCGCCTCCTCAGAATCCCCTCTTTTCTCGGCGGCGTCCCTGGGGGATGCTTCTCCAGGCACCTCTGCAGAAACAACAGAGCGACCGCGGGCCCTGAGGACCAGGCGGCGCGCAGTGTCTCCCCGGGGCCCAGGTGCAGGTCTCAGTCACTGCAGCTCTTGGCCTCCAGCAAGCGCAGCCCCAGACACCCCTGCCAGAATTAGGGTTGCCCTCTCCGTGCCTGGGTCTGCCGTGAGCGCAACTGGATTGTATTTCTTTCTTTGTATTTCTGCCCCTCAAAGCAGGATGTGATTAAAAAAAGAAAAAGAAAACAAAAAAAGACCTTGAAAATGACCCCAGAAGATAGAGCCCTGGACTGAAAATGAGGACATCAGCTTAACTGCTCTGTGATCTTGGGCACATCTCTAACCTCTCTGTGTAAGAGGCACTGTTACTACCACTTCATTCTTGTGGGACTTCTCTGCTTTGAGTGTCCTGTGAAAGTGCTCAATTCCTAAGTGTTTACAGGGTTTCATTAAAAAGCATTTCCTTGCAGACAGCCTTTTGACTAATAAAAATTCTTTCCGTCGTTAGAATGATTACTGTTGAGCAGAGCACTACCGAATGCGTCCCCCGATTTGACTCCAGGGCTCCAGGTGAAAGTGCTCCCATCCTGTTTACAGAAACTCAGACGGATCCTCAGAAAGGTCAGGGGGCCTGGCCGCGCTCACATAGCCTGTAGGCGTCTTGTATCCAAGTCCCAAGTGCCGAGTACAGGGTGGTCTTTGCACCGACACACGGCTGCCTCCCCCATTAGAGCTTCCAGGTGCACACACACACACTCTGTTCCCTCCCACAGCCCACCGCAGCGTCCACAGTCAATCCAGACACTCGTCCCCAGGGAGCCAGCACGGCGGGGGGGGCCATGCCCTGGCCAGTGCGGCGGTACCCCCGCCACAGCCACAGGCCTCCGCTCTGAGCCCCTAGAGTAAGAGCGCTGAGAGCCGGGCTCCTGGAACCTGGCCCCTTCACCCACCATCCGCAGCAAAGAGCAGAGGCCCTCGGGCTTGGCTTTGTGGCTGTTTCAAGGCTGTTCCCATGAGTGACAGGGCACCACTTTAACCTAAGTCATGACCTCTTTGAACCCTAAAAGCTCTCTGGTTTCAAGAAAGATTATCCAGCTCCTGCCTCAAACCTATTCCTCTGGGATCCTGTAACGTGGCTATGCTGAGGCACCACCACTTCCCAGGTGAAGGGCTCTGGGGCAGGCGGCCCTGCTGCAGTGGCTCCTGGGAAGAGCGAGTCAAAGCTGTCTGCCTGCCGCGCCGTAGGCTTCCGGGCCTGCGTGAGTGAGCCCCGCGGCGGATGGGGCGCCTGCAGGGGTGTGGACGGAGGCAGGGCCCAGAGTCCCTTCTCCCGTCATGCAGCTCCCCCGACAAGGTCCACGGACTCTCTGGGTCTCAGTTTCCCCATTTGGAAAGGGAAGGAAATACTAGCTGCCTTACAGGGCCTATACGAGAGGCTCCTGACTCCTATGTAACCACTGCTGTCATTGCCTCCCGCCCCAGCCTCTGTCCAGCCCAGCCGGCACTGACCCTTCACATCGGCCTGGTCGTCCTGCTTCCCCAGAACCTCTGAGAGCTCATCCTCAAAACTGCTGTGTTTCTTCTGCTGATGTGACCTCTCCTTGGCACCTGGCATGAGAAAAGGAAAGAAGAGTCCCACTTGATCCTCAGCATATTCCTCTGTGAGAGTGAGGCCTCCATTTCTTCATCTAGTTCCAGGCCTGCCCAGTGACAGAACTAGGGGAGGTGGCAAGGGTTGGCTGCACCTGCCCCTCCCAGCTGGGGCCCGCCAGGCGGCCACACCACCTCTCCAGACTCAGTTTCTCACCTAGGAAAGGAAAAAGCCGTGCCTGCTGCCTCTTGGGCACTAAAGGCCCCAGTGGAGCAGAGGATCCCAGTGCTGGCAACAGAGAGTGGGGCCTCTCAGGACCTGACTGATAACTAGGGGACCGACCCTGCAACAAGAGGGGACTGCCTCCTCTTCAGGGGGCTCTGCATCAGGCACCCCCATTGGCTGGACCCTTAAGTCCAGGTCCTTGGGAGAAGGCTACGCACAAGCGTGCATCCCAGCTCAGGGCTGGCACCTGCTTCCACAGTCCAGACCCCTCCCCCTGCCTTGGCTCCAGGCTACTGCTGCCTCCTCTGAGTGTCCCCACCCATGCCAGGTGCTGATGATGGTTTTTTCCCCATGACGGGAATTCCTGGGGTGGCCAGAGGAGCCTGACATGGTGGTTGCTGACCAGGGCCTATGCCCCGATCTGGCCCCAGGCCAACCTGGGGTCATGCCTCCTGATTATTTTCCTGCTGTGACCTTGGGTAACTTGGGCTATTGAAGATCTGGTTGCTCATCTGTAAAACAGAGTTGCTGCGTTGTAAGTCCAACAGATGTGGGGCCAGAACCCATTTTTCCTTACTTGCCAGGGAGGGATCGGTGCCTCACATGAACCCAGGAAGGAGTCTGGGCTGGGCAGAGCAGCTAACTCTTGGGGATGACATCAGCCTAACCCTCTATCCCAGCATTCCACCCAGGCTGTGCTTGAATATCCTCAGGGACAAGGAACTTGCAGCCTCACAAAGTCACTCTATTCCCAAGGGCAGCAGTGGATTTTCTTAATCTCTTAGAGAAAGACATACCTCACTCTGAGGTCACTGAAAGTCTGGTCTGTGTTTTGGGGCAAGAAAGACACTGTTTCCCCCACTCTCACCCTTGAACTAAAGCTCACAAGGGAAAAGAGCCCCTCCTCTCTGAGGGGCTCTAACTGAGACCAATTTTGTCTCAGTTAACAGATGAAAGGGATCCTCTCTGCAACCTAGTCCTGAAAGTGTCACCATTGAAACAGCTGAACTGAAATGGCAGAGTTTAGGAGAGCTGCTGCATCTGGTCTTTGCATGTCCTTAATTTACTGTGTGACCTTGGACAAATCACTCAGCCTCTCTGGGCCTTGATCTCCTAACTATATCAATGATAGATGGGACCAAGTGGCACAGAGGACCCCACCTTTCCACAATTATTGAAAGGAAATAACTGAGGATCAGAGAGAAACAGGACCTTGCTCAATCTTCCACCATGACTTTCTGACTCTGTTACTGGAATTTACCCAGATCACAGACAGTGACTGGGTAATACCTTGCAGAGCGAGGTCTTGGAGCTCTTTCAGCAAGTTCTGATGTCGCAGGATTGAGAGGATCCGTTCATCTGCAATGAAGGAGAGTCGTTACGGGTGGTTTCTAGACAACAGCCAAGAAAGAGATTACCATCGATATTTTCAGCTGAGCACAGAGAATACGTTTTGGAAACTCAAAACCGGAGTGGCAGCAGTGCTTTTGAAATTATCTTCTTTCCAAGGTGTCAGTCATTTTTATGCTATATCAGAAAGGCCAGCCACTGTCCCCACACCCAGACCTTAGCTAAGAGATAGCAGCCCCTGAGGTGAGGTGAGTGTCTCTCAACACACATTTCCCTATTTCCATACCTTTGCTTGTGTTGTCTGCTCCACCTGGAGTCAGTCCCCTTTCTTCATTTCTACCTGTAGAGTTCCAACTTTTCCTAAAGCCTGACTCCAGTGCTAATGTTGGATTCATCAAACAGCTGTTCAAAACTTGATTGCCTGGTTGGAAGAACTATGCCCACCCAAACGCTCCTTTATTCATCACATACCTATAGGGGCTCTACCAGCTGCCAGCAGCTGATCTTGGCACTGATGATATAGCACATAAAATGTGGACACAGTGGCTTGCTGTTCTAGCCTTGATTTCATTCTGCCAGAATTCTAGTGAAGTGTGCCCCGTCTGCGAGGCTGTGAACTGCAGGCATGCAGAGGCTCTGACCCTTTCATCTGTCTGTACCACTCAGACCCCAGCACGGTAACCAGGCAGCCACTCTGCCAGTTACTGTTGAATTAAAGCACTGATTCCTATCAAAAGCCACATACCCATGTCCTAGCCTCCCAGCCCAGCAGGCAGCAGCCCCTCACCCCCGGCCTGGCCCATACCTCCTCGGAGTGTCTCGAAACACTCCTGGCTGACAGGCATGGGGCTGGGCTTGGACAGTGTGTCAGAGATGACCTCAACGATGCACTTCATCACCTGGGAAGAGAGTGGGGGCATGTTGGGGCTGGTTTGGGCATGGGGCTCAGCCCCCTGAGGCTCCAGGGCAAATTTCTAATGAGGACATAGGGCATTTGCTTTTGTCTTCAGGGTCCAGGGACAGCTGGTTCAGGGGCACAGCTCTGCTTTCTCAGCCAGACAATACTAGCAACAATAATAGAAAATGCCTATATGGTATTCACCATGTGTGAGGTGCCCCAGTCAGCATGTGCCAGCAAGTGCCCCTTTAAGGTGGGTCATGGTGCAGGTGAGTACCTGGTACCTTCTCATCCCCAAATCTTTCTCTAAAGATGAGGATGCTGCTCCTGGACATCAGAAGTAGGTCTCAAAAAAGTATTTCAGTCTTTCAGATGTCCAAAAGTTCAGCTATCTCCCGGAATCCCTTCTGGATTGCCCAGAGAGCAAACACCTTCCTTGGCTCTGCACATGCAGGGAGTAATAGCTGCGTGGTCTGGCTCCATTGTCCCTCACACGATGAATACCCTAGCTGCATGTGGGCACACATCAGCTACCTCTGGGTGCCCATCTCGGGTCAATAGCAGCCATCTCTCTGACGGTCTTGTCCAGTGTCCAGCAAGGTGCTGTGCCTCATCAGGCACCTGATAAATGGATGATGTGTGAGGATGCTGCCAACTGCAGTGTGGTATCTTAGCTGTGTGGTCATGGGCATGTGACTTGACCTCTCTGAGCCTGTTTCATCACTTGTAACATGGGAGTGAGAAGGCCTTCCCACCTCCCCTCCCAGCATAAGGCACAGACAGAAAAACACTATAAAACGTAAAGTGCCACACACACCCAGAGAGGGACTCACAACTCCCAACCTGCCTCAGCTGCCTAGAGCTGGTGGGGGAGCGGGAGGTGTCAGACAGGCATCAGGCCACACTCGTGGGGAGTGAGGGGGTAGAAGGCTGTCTCTATGGGATGCCAAGGCAACCGGTCCAAGGATCCAGGATAGAAAACTGGCAAACAGGCTCCACAGTAGTCACGGCATCCTAGGATGGAACATTTGGGTCTTAACCAGCTGCTCTAGTGCCTCTAACCCCAGACTTTTGGGTATAATATGGTGACAGAAGTGTCTTCCATAAGGGGTCTGGCAAGGAGCCCTACAGCCTGTATCCTGTGTATCTCCCTGTAACCCCAGATCTTGCACTGGGCATAGCAGATAATCACCAGTCCATGAGGACAGATTCAAGGAAAGAGGAATTGGGTCGAGGTCCCAAGAATAATAGGGAGATGCAGAAAGGAAGCTCTAGGAATAACAGTGCCCATTTGCTGAGGACCTACTATGTGCCAGGCACCTCACGTCTGGTTCCTACCCCCTCACAACTCCCCTCAAGGGGAATATCATTACAGATGGGCAGAAGGGAAGCTCAGAGAAGTTAAGGAATTGTCCCAAGACCACACAGCTACAATGATGAGTGGTGGAGGTTTAAATATAATGAAGAGTAGGAAATATAATTGAGCAAATTGAAGTTGAAATCACTGATGCTTTGGGTTTTAACCATAGCCTCTCTGGAATGAAAGAAAATAGCTCCTGGAAAGGTGAGGACTTCCATGTGGAGGGAATCTGTGAGCAACAGAGACTAGAAAAATGGCTCAGACGTGAATGGATTCCAAGTATACACCTGACATAGAGTGTCTCTTGTGGGCTACAGAATCCCCCACCACCAGAGTCTCTTAAGGCCCTTTACTGGGTGACATCCACCATCAGCCTCAACTGGCCTGAACCCTGAGTGCGGAAGCCATGATCGAGAATGCTTTCACTGTGGCCCCTTGGGACAGCCAGGGTTTGAATGCCTGTGGGGTAGGGGTGCTTGTGGCAGAGCCTCTTGGGGAGGAGAAGAGCCAAGGGAGAGGCCAGAGCCAGGCAGGCTAGGACTTTTCTCGCAGTTCTGTGGACAGCCACATCCACACAGGGTCACCCCCGGCAGCTTACAGTGGGCCTTCCAGATTCGGAGTGCTCGAGACAGTGGACCTGGTACCTTGGCCCAGCAGGTAAGACACAGGCTCTGCTCGGCTTCACACACAACTCAGAGGAAGCTGGGGAAGTCCCCGCAGCAGGATGGCAGGGAAATCAAGCAGCCTTTGATATCTTCTTTTGCAAGCTGTCCCCAGGCTCAGCAGCCGCAGTGCTAGCTCTTGGCTTTACGCCAAACTCCTCCTGCAGCTGCCCAAGAACTGGCTGTGAGCTGTCCCCTGGGGCCTCCTACCCACCAGCCCGGGGCACTGCCCCCCACCTTCTTACCTCAGTGTCCCCTTTATTCATAGGGCTGTTCACAGGGAGGGCAATGACTGGTAAGAAAAAGAGAGAGCTGCGGTCACTCCTCTGCACTGAGGGGAGAGCCTAGTCTCCTGGCCCGGCCCACTCGGGTCCCACTCACCCCAGTGCTCCCCCTCAAAACTGTCCCCACCCAATGACATGCTGGGGCTGATCTTGTTCCCCTGCCTCCAAGTGGGGTGGCTCCCAGTGGCTGCACTCAGAGCCTCAGCCCTTCCTTTTGGGAAAGCTCCCACTCTGGAGGGGGTGTGGGAGCCGAGGGCAAGAGTCATAGGGCGCAGGAAGGTGCAAGGAGAGGGAGTGCGCCCCCGAGGTGAGGGAAAAGAGAGAGAGGAGGACCGAGAGACAGGAAAAGAGAGGAGCAAAGGCAGAAGGCAGAAGGCGAGGGAGAGAAGGAACATGGAGGGGGAGAGAGGCGAAGGGGGAGCCAGCAGCCCTCCCGTCTCCCCCAGTGACCTTGGCCAGCCACAGCAAGGAGCGGTGGCTGTCTTGTGGCAGCCGAGACTCCAAGCCTAAACATGGGATAGGGGCGCTAGGGGGCCCTGCCCCGCGGGGTCGGCTAGGGCGGAAAGAGTCGGGTCCGTAGCCGCTTGGCTGAGTCAGGAGGGAGGCGGTGGCGCTGTCCGCGGTGCTGAAACAAATCGCCTCTCGGGAAGGGAGGTGTCGAGGGGCGCGGGACGCTGCGTGGTGCCTGGACCTCAGGGCAGGCAGGGCAAGAGCAGGCAGGGCGGGAGGGGGCGCCCAGGGCCCTTTCCCACGGGACCCGCACCAGCTCACCTTGCCCCGCGCAGAGCAGAAGCGCCAGGACACCGGCGCGGCGCATGGCGAACCGGGGCGCCGAGCAACACCGAGACGAGTGGTGGCTGAACCGGCGGCCTGGGGGCGGGCGGCGGAGCTGGAGCGGGGCCGGGGGGCGCAGCGTTCCTGCGTGTGCGTCCGTCTGTTGGTCCGCCCACTAGCCTCCCCGCACCGGGACCGGCTACCGCAGAAGCAGCAGCAGCGACAGCGGCAGGGCCGGCCGCGCGCCCTGCTTATATACCCCGAGCCCGGAAATGACGTCATTGGGACCGCCCCTGCCCCTTCCCCCTCCTCTAGGTGTCCAGGGGCAGGTCGATCCACCACCCCCGCGATCACACCTTCTTACCTCTGGCCCCCGCCTCTCACGGTTAATGGGCCAAGTCGCGAGGTCAGCAACTGGTTTCCAGAGGGTGGCACAGGGGTCTCAGCTGACCCTGCACCCCTTCACAGCTCTACCGACTGGCTTTGTATCCGTGGGCAAGTCACTCCCTTTCTCCGGACCTCGTGTTCCTGCAAGGTGTGCTGAGGTCCCTGCCAGCCCTAGCGCATCACTCCATGCCCCTGAGGCCCCTCTCTGAGGGCTTCCTTCCCCTAGTCTCACAGGCTGGAGGCATGCTCACCACTCAGGGCTCCCTTAAGTATCCAGAGGGCCCTAAAGGGTGCTGGGGTTGAGCACTCTCCCCATCCCAGTAAGGCCTCTCTGGCAACCTAGTTCATTTAGTGCCTTCACAGTTTGTAACTGCTTATGTATTTATCTGAACAGCGTTTAGTTGTCATTGCTTTTACAGTGCTGAGCAAGGCACCTGGCACAGGGTAAATGCACTTAATAGATAACTGCTGATTGACAGTTCAACCTATGGATGAGTGAATCCTGGGCTCCGGCTGTTGTTGGACAGCCCTCATGGGGGCCAGTTAGGGAGGAGTAGGGGACAGTTCTTGATATCAAACCAAAATAGGAGTACCTGTGGCTTCTACTCATTAGCCTCAGTTCAACCCCTTAGAATCAACTTCTTGCTCCTGGTAACCCACTGTGTATTTGAGAACAGCTTTTGCTCTTCTCAAGTGTTCTTTTCTCAAAACCTGGTGTTTTGTGTGTAAAGTTGGTTACCTGGCTTGTTTTCCTCTGTCCTGGGCCCTCACTCTCCACCACTGCTGCTCTCAACCTCGAGGCCACTTTGCTACCTGACCCCAGTATCATAAATCTGGTATCTGAGTTATGGTTTGGCATCTGCTGGCACTGTCCAGAACTTCCTTCTCCCAGCAACACCCCCCACCCCATCTGCTGCTGCTATTTCCTGCTTCTTGCTCCACACCTGTGCCCACTCCCTCCCCTAAAGGAGAAACTGGCAGGAGCTCAAAAGAGACTGAAATGGTCCTGTTTGTGCCTTTATTCTTTCATTCAAAAACTATTTGTTAAGCACTTGACTACGTGCTTAGAACACCTCAGAACAGCACTCAGCTGCTCTAGGTGCTGAGGATACGGCAATGAGTGAAACAGATAAAAGTCTAGTCCTTATGGGGTTTACATTCTAAAGCATAAAGACAGACAATGAATAAGAAGGAAGTAAAATGCACTGTATGCCAGATGGTGACAAGCGCTATGGACAAAAACGAATCAGGGAAAGGGATGGGTGTGCTGGGAGAGGACTGGGGTTATATTAAGGTAGATCTGCAGAGACTCACCAAGGAGGTAACATTTCAACAACGACCTGAAGTTAATGAGGGCGAGCAGAGGTTGCATGTGTGTAGGGAAAGACGGCTCCAGGTAGAAGGAATGGCAAGTGTAAATGCCCAGGGGCAGGAATGTGCTTGGCGTGCTCCAGGAACAGCCAGGAGATAGCGTGAAGAAGACCTGGAAAATACAGCTGAACAGTAACACATAGTCCATCTCAAAATCTTGGAAAATGCCCAGAAATAGAGGAAGAGATAAGCATCAGTAATTTTTAAGTATATACTTTATAGTCTTTGTTGAGGTGGCTCCCTTTGCAAAGGGCAGTTCTCAGGGAAAAACTTTAGCTGAGCTTTGAAAGAAGAAATGTCTTGGGCTTTTCTAACGTGGGGTCATCCCTAATGTGTTGCAAAGATTTGCTACCTGCTTCCTCTGCAGCATCATATCATAAAGATTTGCCCATGTCGTGAGTAGACTGGTCCACCACAATTTATTATGTGCCACAGTTTGTTTGACTGATACACAGATAGGTTCCTGCTTTTTGTTTTTGTTTTCACTATTACAAAGTACAATCTTACACAAAAACCTCTGTAGCATTTGCAATTATTTCATGTAACAGTTGGTCAGCTTCTCAAAGAAAATGGACGTTTTTAAGGCACTTGATATGCATTGTCCAACTGCCATAAGAAAGTTGAACTACTTGCCAAGCTGAGTGGGCTTTTCTCATGGGAAGAACCCCTGCTGCCCTCCCAAGAGCACCATTCCATCAGGAGCCTGTTCCTGTTTACCCCATGTAGCTGAGCATAACCAATTAGTGAAAATGTCCCATAAAGACTTTAAAAGCGACAATGCCTGTAACAAGTGTTTACACAGTGCTTCATAGCTCTTCAAAATGTTCCATTCTACGCCTAAGTTAGAGATGGGAGTTTTGACCCTACTTTGCAGATTTGGAAATGCAGACCCAGGACGCATCCAAGGAACCGTGTGGCGAATGAATGGTAAAGTCCCTCGAGCTCCTTTTGCCCAAATGCTTTGTGTTCTCCCTCATCTCCTGATTCCTGGAATGCCTCCCAATTGCCATCCCATGCCCTCTCCTTTGGCCTGGCAAACTCTTCCATATCTTTGTTCAGGACCTCCCTCCTCTCTGCGTCCACAACTCTTATTTGAGCAGTTATCGCAGAAGCCTGAAATTTTTTGCCTTTAGATCCATCTGCCTCATCACACTTTGAGCGTTTTGGTGTTTGGTCTGCATCCTGCTCATCTTGCGATGACAGTTCCTGGCATAGTGGATACATGTAGGCGCAATGGAAAAATAAAAGAAGGAAAAAACTCACATCTTTTGATCCAGTCTTTAGGCTGGATTAGTTAGGGAAGGGTAAGTTGCTGGAACCAAAGACCCTGAAATACAGTGGAATAAGGTGGGATCCTATTTCCCTCTCACACAATAGTCCAGAAGAGAACAGTCTAGACTTGTAGCATGGATCTGCCATCCTCTCTATAAGATTTCCATCTTTGGTACCAAGGCAGCTACTCCAGTTGCCCCCGTTTTTCAACCATCACAAAGGGGGCACAGGGTGGAAGCCAAGCAGCTTCCTTGTAAGGATATGATGCAGAACTTGCTTGCATCACTTCTCACTACCCATTGGCTGGAACTTAGGTACATGGACACACCTGGATAAAAGGGAGGCTAGGCAGCCATTGGGGGTAGTTCTGATTACTAAAGGAAGAGGGGATACTGGAAGACAATGCCCAACCCAAGGTAATGGAGACAGAACTAACCCTGTGGAAAACTTGCTAAGAACCTCTCTTCTTAGACACTCTTCTAAGAGTTTTACATTACAGCCCTATGAAGCAGGTGCCATTATTATGCTTGCTTATAGATGGAGTTCTACAAGAGAATTAAGCCCAAATGCCCTACGGCACTCATAATATGTAGTGAATTAATGTCTTTTGCATGCATCTAGGAGGATACTAATTATGCACCATCCTTGGGTGAACTGAGAGAATAGTTGTCCAGATAATTTCTGCATTGTGTGGTTCTGATGAGGAGCCCTGTGTAGTGCTATTGATGGGTACCTTCCAAGGAGCTGGGCATTGGGTCATGCTTGTCTTTGTTTGGGTTCCCCCCAGATCAGATCCTAAGACAGGGATTTGGGATACAAAGGGTTCATTTGGAAGTGATCTCAAGAAGGACAATGAGGAAGTGGGGACGTAAGATGAGGAAAGGAGAAAAGCCAACGACAGGTGTGTTGATGAGTAAGTCACCACTGAGGGCAGTGGAGACTCAGTCTTGCTGGGACCTGTTGAGAAACTGTGTAGAACACACCTCAGAATTGTTCCATTGGGGCAAGGAAGCTGGAACACTTCCCTGTCAACTCCTTTCTCTCACTGAGGGTCTCTCCTGGAGGCCCAGCATTCTGGTCTGCTCTGGGAAAGAGCCAAGCAAACAACCACGGCCAAGACCACTAGAAGCTGTCAGTGTGCTTGGCAACTGTCTACAGGTAAACTCAAGGGAGTCCACGGGGACATAGTTGAGATACTGATGTCTGCTACAGGGCTTCATACTGACATTTCATGTTGTCTTTAAAATAAACCTGTGGCTAAGATATCAACGTCTCTGCTTCTCATATGCAGAAGCCAAAGCTCAGAGAGATGGAGAGACTCTTTCAAGCTAGAACTCCCACACAGCTAGAAAATAGTAGAGTTCAGGGGCCAGCCATCTGTCTCATGTCCTTCCACACTCCTCTTACCAGGCCTAAGCCCTTTACTAGCCTAATGTTCTACTAGTCCCCATTGTCAACCCCCACCAGCAACTACTGCTTTCAGGTTTGGGGCTACTTTCATTTTTTGAGAAAGACAATTTTTGCAACCCTGGATGAAACATGGAGGAAGGC